CAACGGATTTTGAACCAGGGCGCCAGCGAAGCTAGAAATGGCTCTGTCCCGACCCATTGATACATGGTTTAAATAAACGGAGCTTGCCAACATCCTGTATACATATTGGTCAGATGAAGAAACTCACTCAGTTGTTTTCTTCTGTCAATAATAATCAAATGGATTATTTTACATTTTGGGCTATTGTTGCTGTTTATTGTCGTCCAATTCTCCAAATAATTCTGTTTATCTTGTTTACTTCAACAAAAGCTCATACAGTTTTCACTTCATTCGATACGTTGTCAGTTGTAGTTGTGTTTTAAAACTATTTGGACGTGCAGAGGAAAAATGAAGCTGCTATTACTCATAGTTTTGATCTGCATTTGCTTGAGCTATGTTAGTTCACAACAGCTAGAGCAGCAGCAAGAATTGGAACAACGACAGCGGCAACAACAACAACGGGATTTAGAAGAACAAGCAAAAATACGACAACAAACCGAAGCACATCAATATATGGTGGTTGTCAATGGTTAAAAGTGGTTTTAAATTATCATTGAATTTGCAATATCCAGTGTTACATTATGTAAGTTACATTCTTCGTTGCAATTTATATGATCAAATTTTGGAACCAAGTGTATTTTAAGGTAGCGTCAAAACAATCATTCAAGGAGCAATATTTATGACTAACAAATCAATGTTCAGAATGAAACGTATGTGGAACAAAAGCCAAAAAAAATGTGCAAACAAAAAGAGCCGGAAACTTTATCAAGATTTTTTTTAATGTTATGTAAAGTCTTGCAATGGACAATGCTTCCCGGGTGATCAGTTTGTAGCGAATAATTTAATAATAATGATGAAATTCATGGAAACGGATCAGATCAGTTCCAGTGAGGATTAGTTTCAATGGGGAAGAAGACGTTGTCAAAAGTCATTCAGAAATCTCATACAACGTATCTTTTCATATTTTCAGTCTTGTCCGTATGGTTCTGTGCCAGCATCTTTGTCCTAGTCTTCATCTGTAATAAACCCAGTCAACGAATGCAACAGAAATTGAAGAGGATTTACAAATCTAGAACAAAAACTAGAACGACCATTCTCTCCAGTTGGAGACTTTTCAATAGCTTTTAACGATTCAATTTAAAATGTAACAACAATGCTCAGTATCTGAGTGATCAACTGAGAAATCATTATGCCTTAATACCTTCAAATAATATATGCTTTTTTTAATTTCGTTGCTTTCTAAGTCAATAATTTACAATAAACAACAATTTATCGAGTGTATTACTGAACAAAATTTATTTTGTTACATAAATATCATTCCAATAGCACTGGCTTTTGAGCGATTGTTCTTCTAAATCTTCCAATCCTTCAATCCACGTGCGTTAGTCGTGTCGATTTCATCAGAGCTAGCCTATTTGAAGAAATTCATCGAAATATGATCATTCAATCGAAAACTATTTTATTCTTTATTTTGTCTTGTGTGTGCTTTTGGCTGCATCTAAGGCAACCATTAGTTGAGAATAAACACGAAGTAGATTTTTTAAAAAGAAAATTAAAGTAATATCCAAACATTACGTGCAAACCGGGTAATTCAACGAGATTCGAACAATTCGCATGCATTTTGACTTCAACATCCGTCATGAGTTTTATGAATTCTTCAACGGGCTTTCTGGAATGGTACCAGAACAAAGATTTCTCCTCTCATAGCATCACTTCATTTTCTCTTCCCTTGAAATTTTGGAACCAGGGCTAATCTCAATACCTAATCTGTTTCATTTCTCAAGTTGTGTTATGTGACTCATTGTTAGTCAAATATAACTTCAAGTCATGGGGTGAAACTCACAATTGGGAGATCAACAATGCAATCAAAATGACAGAGTCAATTTTTTTCGGCTGTTAACACCGAGTCCTTCAGTAATGTGTCATCATTTATCATTCCACAGGATGAACATTAAATTAATAATCTACGAACATACCCAACTAAACTATCTGACGCATCATGTTGAATAATTTCCGCATCGTAATTGACCGAAATACAGGCTGGTAAACAATTAC